ATCCAATAGACAAAAAAAGAATTTTATTGATTTTTTAAAAATTTGAAAATTCTTTACCTAAAGCATGCAATGATGTCACAATTTGCATAAACCTAGTATACATGTCTAAGATCATTTCAAAAGGTTTCATGGAAAATAATTCATAATCATGCATTAACATATTCAACTTGGATTGCTTGATTTCACTAGTGTCTTCGTATATGGTGTGTAGTTTATCCCAAATTTCCTTACCAGTAGTGCACGTGAATACTAACATAAAATCTTCAGAATTTAAATTTAAAGCACAGAAAAAACAATTTAAAGATTTTGCATTCAATTGAGCATTAATTTTTTCTTCCATATTCCATTGATTAAAATGAATATTAGTTTTAATTCCATCTAAAACACGTGACGGTGAAGAATAACCAGTTAAAATCATATGTCACATTCGGAAATCAATTGATTACAAAAATGTAGACATGCGAGTTTCCAAAAATCAAAAGTAATATTCTCAAATAAAGGTGATCTGGTGATTGAATAACCTTCCGCAATATTAAGATTAGAAAAATTAGACATGGATCAAAATTTAAAAACTTTTCAAACTTAGTTTTTATGAATCCCGCTCTGATACCACTTGAAATTTTGTTAGGGATGTTAGGCCCCTTATTAACTGGCCCAAGGCTAAAAAAGAGAGAGGTGAATCGATATTTAAAACAAACACAATCATAAAACCAAGATCAAGATTCACCACAATAAAAACCAAATGCGGAAATTAATACGGAAGTAATAAAGGAAAAAACACACCAGATTTATATTGGTTCGGTCAAACCTTGACCTACGTCGACTCCTCGGAGGCACCTTCTGAGTATTGTACTAATCTAAGTGTCTGTCCTTTAGCCCCCACAGCTAGGCGGAGAATTCCTTACAAAACCACTTCCACCTTCCCCGGTGTGGCAAAGTCGCCGGGTCCTTTGACACCAAATAGATCTTCTTCTTTGATGAACTTCCCTCGAGACAAGCCTTAAATCCGACGGTATTAAGGTGCAAGCCTGCCGGAGTAACTGTGTGGAATCCCCCTCCACACTCCCTTGAGTCCCCCCTCACAGGATCTTCTCCCTCTCTTAGACTTCACATGTTCCTCACTCCCTTTCAAGCTCTCTCTTCAAGTTTCCCCCAAAAGAACAAAGTTACAATGGCTGCCAAAGACACTTCTACAAAGTTTCATGTCATAGCTTAAATAGAAGATCTTAAAATGAGGTCATTAATGCAAATTGCCAACTTTATCGTCTAGGATGATAGACATATCGTCCTGGCCGATCAGTACAAATTAAGCTCAATCAGCCTGGGACGATTTGGGACGATCAGAAGAAAATAGGTTACATCGTCCTGGACGATGATATATCGTCCTGGACGATTAGTTTAAAACCGAGTACAATCGTCCTGATCATCGCCCGGAATAGATGCTGTCCGATGTCAATCGTCCCGGCCGATCCTGCGATCGTCCCGGACGATGTGATCGAATCAATCAGCATTTAATGCTTTTCAAAGATACAAGATTAATTTAGGCATAATTGAGTTAGATCATCCATGACGATGGGCTATCGTCCTGGCCGATTTCCTAATATAAAGAATACCTAAACTGATCATGGCGGCTGATTCTTTCTATTTTAAGATTATCGTCCTGGCCGATACACGTATCATCCAGGCCGATCAGCTCGGCTTAATGACGGCTTCCATAATGAGGATACCCTAATTAGGATTTCTGCTTTTGAACCGATCGTCCAGGCTGATATAAATATCATCCGGACGATGTTACAAAAAATAGTAAACTCTAGGGAACAGTCAAAAAATCTTCCAAGTTACAAAGCATCAGGAGCCACACCAATACAATAGAATAAAGAAAGGAAAAGGGTTACAAATTGACTCAGATCTAGTCTACCCAATCTTGAGCTGGTTCCAAATTATAATCTGATCTTGTTGACCTGCAATGTCAATAAATAAGACAGTCGTAGAGAAATAAGAGTGTTTGCTATCATCAAAATCATAAATCATGAAAATAGATCCGCAACATCAAGTTGTAGATTATATATATATATATATATATATAGATATTATATATATATATACTATATATATATATATATATATATATATATATATATTAATATATATATATATATATATATATATATATATATATATATATAATATATATATATATATATAATATTATATATATAAAGATCTAATAGATGAAAGGTATAGGCATATCTGGAAAACAAGGAAAGCCGAGTTCAATGTATATTGGACCTTTTGAAGTGATTGAAAGAATTAGAAAGTCTGCCAACTGATTATTGTTGCCAGAGCATATGTTTGGTATTCACATTGTATTCCATGTGTCATATCAAATCACAAGATCTAAAGTATAACAATTTTTTTCTAATCTCTTTATTATCTTTTCAACTCATCATATTCATTTTTCTTTCTGTTAATAAATAATAATCATTCATTTACAACCTGATCAATTTGACATATAGAGCTAAATTACAATTACATTCCTGTTAATATCATTAAATAAAATAAATGAATAGAGATAAAAGTACAATTACATTCCTACTGTTAATTTACATTTTGCTACAAGCTCTAAAACTCAAAAGTTATAATATATTATATAATAGCAATCACTGACTACAAAAGAATACATATAAACCATATAAATCAAATTGATCATTACTGCTAAGCCTCAATTCATAGGCTCCTTAACTTCACCTGAAATTATGTAAAAATCATAATGATTAGAGGAACATCGCCAAAACTCAAGGAGAGAGCCACTCTCCTAGAACTCTTAGCTATCAGTTAAACTATAGATGGCGTCACAACTTTTTGCAATGCCACACTTGGCGCTCCACTTCCATTATTATTGTAGGTATAAGAGCCACCAATTCTATTAATTATATAATTCCCACAAAGGCATTCAATTTGCAGCCACTTCTTTTATCTCCCATGACCCTATTTTCCTATCTTCTTCCTCTTTGTTTAATTTATGAATAGCTTCTCTCTTCACTCATTTAAAGCTAAGCATGACTAACTCTACAAGGTAATACATAGTTAAAGATAAAAACATCACACCTTTCAAACCCATGCTTATAGCAAAAAAAAAAAAAATGTTAGTCGAGTCAAATCACTATCAAGATGAAGAAATTATATGATCTTTGAAGCTGTAATAATAATAAAATGGTAACTTATACTTACTCTCCTTTTTATTGTCAGGTGAAAATAATAAACTTACATCATTAACTCACTTGTCTTATTGGTGCTTGCCTTTCAAAGGGACCATATAGGTATTTCATACATATTTGGTCGGTTTCAACAAGAGAACTAGGTCGAAGAAATCACATTGTCTACTAAAGACACTAGCCAGCATGGACCGTGACTCACCTTGACCACTCATATCAAGGAGTCATCCAAAAAATTTGCATTAAAGGACTTGTATAAGTCTATTCCAACCCTTAAGGAATCCCTCATCCAAGAGGGGATTGACCTCTTAAATTTACTTGAAGTTATCCAAACCATTAAGACCCCACTAACAACCGCCAATCCAACCATAGGGCATACACACTACAAAAGACTCCATAGCTTCGATCCTCCAAACTCGACCAGTTCTTAACTCACTGGTACCATTGCCCAAAGGGACTCATCCATTACGCCCAAAGGTCATATATAGCTTTTCAGGATTTTCTTCCGTATCTAGATGGGCTTGCCCATATAGACTCATCTTGAAAACTCGCACAATATACTCACCCAGGAAAACTCACCTTGGAACTGAGCAAAGGTTTTGGAGCAACATAGACAACTTCCAACCCACGACATGTGTCTTGTATAATCTATAATGGGTCATATCAAATATTTTACATCTTACTTTTGATTGTGTAGCCTTACTTGAACTCTAAATCCTACAAATAAGAGGTTGGCTCATTTTGAATTTCTTGGACATTTCCAACCTCTAGCACTTTCAAATGCTCTTAAATATTTTGAGTTCATTTATTTCACGCTCATTCTCCATATTCATCTAAACTCCTAATTCCTTAATGTTCTTTTCTAGTAAAATTGAATATCATACACCAATAAATTCGAATTCAACACCATAGAATCAATTCATTGTAAACTTTAGGATAATTTATGGGAATACGGGCAGAAATTGATGCACCTTCAAGAAAATAACGAAATTTAAGTAGATCCAGAGCATGAATGATTCATACGGAGTAGAAAGATTCCCAATCCGTCAAAAAATAAAAGAAAATATAGATAATAGGTTAATTGAAAAATAATTTTTATGAACTTTGTTTAACAGATCTAACCATGAACTTTGTTTAACAGCTTAACCGTAATAGGTATTGATATAGGAAAATAAAATTTAATGGCAAGATTAGAGGCCTAACTAAAGAATTTTAAATTAAATTAACCATGTAAAATTCATACTATAAAACTGAACAAATCAAAATGCATTAATGTATGATGATAACTAATTCCTCAGAGAATTTTAAGGGGAATCCCTTATGATTTGTCTTAGAAAAGGCAGAGACTTCATAGCAAGGAGTAAGAACTACAAACTGGAACCAAGGCAATGATGTTTTCAACGTTTTTGGTGAACATGTGAAAGGTGGGGAATATACGAAAAATTTTAAATTCAGAGCAAAAAAGAATAAAAAATAGAAAAGAAAAAAACCTTCCTCTAATTAAATTATCATGTCATTGAAAAGAGAGCCTAAGACCACTTTTAAGATGTATTTTTTATTACCTCTTAAAATAACTTTCTAGTACAAAATTGCCATCTAAAACGAAGTATAAATCTGATCATATATTTGCATTTCTAGGGACATGTTGCATCCAAGAGCTGAAAATCTTATCAACTTCAATAACATGTGAAATTCAAAAAATAACATAAAAATATACAAATCCTAACTATTAGTAGCATGCCAAGGACACAAAACATTATACTTAATCCGACAAAAAATGGCAGGTTTCTAGTGCTCATGTCATCATATTTGCGTTCGATGAATCGGAGACTAAAATATTTCATTGAAGCATCTTTTATTTAAAAATAAATGCCAAACTTTTATTATTACAATTATTCCCAACTTTCCCACCAATTTATTTCTGGGATCCATTCAAAATAGAATCAATAAAAAACTGTCAGTCTACTGTAATCTGAATCCACTAATCAAATCAATCGCATGATCCACATCTTTTGCCAATTTTTCTGCTTCTCCTACGTACAAGTGAGGAGTAAGCTCTAACAGCTCTGATTTTGCCTTATCAGGCAACTCCAAATTCTTTATGAAATCTCTAATACTATCCTTGGTGATGGCCCTTCCTCTAGTGAAATCCTTAAGTTTCTCATATGGTTCAGGGACACCGTATCTTCGCATTACCTGTAAATAATGAATTAAATTGAATCAGTTGCTTAGATGGTCGACAAGCAATAATCTCTTGCAGTAAAAAGCACACTCGAAATAAGGACAGTATAGAAGACAAAAGTTTTTATCAATTTGATATTACATATTTATACTAGTAACAACATTCTAAACATACTATATTGTAGAATAATAGGTAGATCAGTACAGGTCTCACAATAAAGCCATAAACATAGACAGTTCAGCCATGTAAGGGTGCTTTGAGACAGCTTTTTATAGCTGCACTTTTAAGAAAACTATTACTTTCTATTTGGCTAACTTTTCTATAATTTTTCAAAATTTTAAGTGATTATTTTTTAAAAACTAGATCGACTGAAGTATGGCAGCTGTAAGAAAATTAGTATTATTTTTTCAAAAGTGAAACAATCTACAATACCCATCTTAACTTTTGAAAAACTTATTTTTCGCACATCAGTTCTATAATCTCTAACTATTTTCTGAGAAAATTGTCGCAACCCCAAATGGATAAACATTTACAGTGCAACTAAGATTTTTATTTTGGAAGGCAAATTAGCTGCATGCTAAAAAAAACTAAATAAAAGAATAATTGTCACATGGGTAGATCGGTCTTGATTTCCTCTTTAAACCATATAGAAAGAGCAGCTCATTTTCTTTCAAATTAATCAAAGATGTCTCGGAAATCAGTGAAGGCTGAAACTAACGTTAGGAAGAGTAATTAATATTATCAAAATCTAATTTTGACTAACTCGTCCATATATAAGATTGATAAAGCATCCTTACTGTTTGTATTGGTTCAGCAAGAACTTCCCATGTGAGCTCCAAGTCTTCATTAAGGCGAGATTTATTAACCTGTTGAACATTCAAGTGTTCAGCTTAAAGGAAAAATTCATGCAAATAGGCCTTACAGAAACATGGAATGGTGTAGGCTCGTCTTGTTAGATCATGCAACTATATCAGTTGAACATATAAACAAAATAAAGTACAGTTTACAGAACAAAAACATGTAATTTTTATGACTTTCGGCTCGGAAATTAATCCTTAAATTAAGGTAGCAACTCTTGACTAGATTTGAGCAAATTTAACTTGGAATTAATCCATATTTAATAGAAAATTAGTTTCCACATCTTAACACCTGTTCACAGGTTTACATCATAAGGATGCAGCTCTTCTTCGAAGAACTACGTAAGTGTAGGTTCCCATGTGGTTCTGACAACACTACTTAATAAGACTGGGGTCTTTGCTTTTGAGGTATATAACGCTGAATGAAGCGTATTTCCATGCAATAAAACTATCGACAGGAAACTAAGCATGAATAGATAACTTTAAATAGTAATAATTATAACTAGACTGACAAAAATATTAGAAGAAAATAAACATTGAAATTAGGAAATATAATCTCTAATAAAAGATATATTCGCCAAGGACTGAAAAAAACCAAAAACATGTAAAATATGTATCATCATGTACGGGACTCTTGAAAAATTTTCAGATAGAAGCGCCTCACTTCTACTGTGTACATTGAGTGACTTTCAACTCCACTAAGATGAAGTTAACTTCCAAAATTATATGGCTAAGAAAAACTTTGTGCTCAACTTTAGTTTAGAAATGTATATTTTTCTACTCACTCAGTTTCAAGATGAGAGAAATATTTCAAGAGCCAATGTAAATTGAAACATATTGCTTACCTGAAGTTTCCCAATCCCCCGTGAAGTACTTGAATAAGCCAGGAGAGAATGGCCTAAACCAACCCCCATATTTCTCAAAACAGTGGAATCAGTTAGGTCCCTCTGTCAAAGAAATTGATACTCGCAATTCATTACTCTGCTAACAGTCAAAATGTAAATTAAAGTATTGAAAATAACACACGAAATATCCAGAAGCATCAAAATATCATATGGAGCAATTAGACTCCAAGATTTTAAAAATATGAGAGACTGAAAAGAAATTAGAAAATAAAGTATTACCTGCATGCGTGAAATGGGTAATTTCATGGCAAGAGCAGATAAGACAGCATTTGCCAAGCACAAATTGCCCTCACTGTTTTCAAAATCAATAGGGTTAACCTTGTGAGGCATGGTGGAAGAACCGACCTCCCCAGGCTTGGTTATCTGCAGGACAAACAATAAAATCAATAATCAACTTCTGAATTTGTTTGTGACAAAGAAATACCAATTTATTAGTTAAGCGGAAAAGCGTACCTGCTTGAAATAACCTAATGATATATAGCTCCAAATATCTCTATCAAAATCAATTAAGATGTTGTTGAACTGGATAACAGCATTAAACAAATTTGCAATGTAGTCATGAGGCTCAATCTGCAAACAAGAATGAAAACAAATAAGAGAATCTGCAGTGAGAATTGAATGCTTTGAAAGTTAAAGCAATAACATAAAAGCAAACAAACACCAAAAAGAATAAAGCGCACACAGACACACATAAAAGCAATATACCAAATTAAACCCCAAAAATGAGTAGATTGAGATTTAGTTCATCAAGTACCTTCCTATAAAATTCTTGTTAATAAAACTAGCATATGGTACATGCTGCTAACCTCATCGATATTCTATAATTAACCCTTTTGAAAACATCTTATCAACTCTAGGTCTTCTTAAATCTCTACAACATCCAAAAGTACCAGCTTGGAACATTTACCGTATCATCAGCATTACAACATCAGTATTTGACCTGTGTCAGATAGACTACCAATAAAAATTTGTAAAGCTAAATGCGAATGTGCTTCAACACAGCATTAGATTTTTCTTTAACTTCTTCTCTATTTTGATGAAGTATGAATCATGTATAGAGTATTAAACTAGCATATATAAAAACTGTTTAAAAAAACCATCTATGAAGTTCACACGGACAATAAAAATATACATTAAAAAAGGTGAGCATATAAGCCTGTGTATTAAAATTATGATTGTAATTAAAGACCTCTATAAAAATCATCAAATTAGGAAAATGCAAATTGATTTCTTAGCGTTGAAGATCATACCTGTGTCACATAAGGGTTGAAACCGATGCCCAATGAAGTTACAAACTCTTCCGCTATTCTTGGCCAGTTAATGTTGGGATATGCAACTTTATGGGCATTGTAATTTCCAACAGCTCCAGCGAACTTTCCTAGTATACGAACTCCAGAAAATATTTTTCCTTGATTGCCTAATCTAACTGCAAAGTTTGCCATTTCCTTTCCCAATGTTGTTGGTGAAGCTGGCTGCAAAAGACATCGACATAATAGCAAAAAGATTAAATGTTAAGGGACTAAAAATAAAATTCATATACAAACTGCCACGCCAATGGAAACCCACATGAGCCTCTCAGGTAACTACTGCAATACCTCATGCTTATCAAGCTAACCATGATGATCATGAAATGGTTAAAAACACCTAGAAATACATAACTGGTCCCTAAAGTCCGAAGTTCAAGTTATAGTTGAAACCGTAATACAAGTGATTCAACATAATGCAGCACAAGGAAAAATACACAGACGATCAACACATATTGGGTGCTCCTAGATTATCAGAGGAATTCACAGGATATTAACATACTATCAGGATCATTAATATTTTATTATTGAATGTTTAGATACTCATCTGCTTAGTTTACTAAAAAATATAACATATTTCTATATTAAAAGAAAGAATGTTCGAGGAACCTAAATTCAACTCCCACCAAAGCTCAATCCAAGTTCCATTTCCTTTATAAACCTTACCTCAAAATCAAGCACTTGCAATCTTTATTATCAGGCATCCAAAAAGATTGGAAGGTCCTTGGAACCTCCACTAAAATTTGAATCTGCTAGAACACCAATTGAATGAAATAAGCATACTATTCGAAAAAAGTTGGGATCCAGATTTTACTCCAAATAATTGTTAGATTTATGCTGAGGGAAACCAGCATAAGCACTTTCTTTATTATTTCTTGATATTATATAGGCATGCAAAGGAGCAGACTGCCTCAAGGAGGCAAAGAGGAAAATGAGAGCTTGTATTAGCATGTATACATATGATGCTGTGGGAATGGAGAAGAGATTCTAATGGCTGTGGCAATGCATGAAATTGACTTCCATGCATACTTTTTCGTAAATTTTTTGTGATAATTCTTTCATATTTTGGTGAGGCGATGTAGGACTGAACATAGGTGTGATTGAGAAAGAGGGAAGCTATAATAGTGTAGTGAGATAATATATAGATGGATACTAAGTGAAGAAAATCAATCAACACCAATGGATAGGGATGGAAAGATTATCAAACTAATGCCAAAGAACAAAACAATAGGATAACCATCTCTTTTGCTCAAAAAAGAAAGGGTATCGCTCAACCCTATCATAGGATGAGGCAAATCAAATTAGCCACTAAGCTAAGTTTGAAAAAGAGAGAACTCTCAATTTTAATTACAAAACAATGATGCTTAAAACCAATATTTCATAGCTATTTATAGATTTTACTTCCTGAAGAATGTAGAAAGCCATAGGAATATCAAAGGTCACATGAGTAAAGGAAAAGCCATAATCATGAAGATTCACATCATCACACGTCACGAAATGAAATTTTAATCCTTTCATCTTTCATCTCCTCATATTAAGATTTTTTACGCAGAATTTACTTCATGTCCACACCAAATCTTATAAGATAGGCTGCATTAGGATCACTCAAAATCTTTAGAGAAACTATATTTAGCATTTAGCATTTTTACATCATGCATTGCCAATCATGCTGCAACTTTCATGGCCAACCATAACTTGCTCCAAATGTCAAAAAATTTAAGCTATGAGGAAACCGCCCCAAAGAAGAGAAACTATATTTAGCATTTAGCATTTTTCATTTTTCATATCCTCATTAAAAGTCTTCATAGAGAAACTATATTATGTCCACTCCAAATCTTCAAGTAGAAGATACATTAAGATCACTCTAAATCTTAAAAAACAAACTTCCACATCATACTCCCACCTTCATGGTTGACCTTGGCTTGCTCCAAATGCCAATTTTACTCATGAGGAGGCTTCCCCAAGCAAGAATGAATGATAGAATAAAATTCACATGCAATGTGGCTGAAGTCCGATGCAATGTGATGAAAACTCTGTACAAGTTGGTGAAAATTTATCCCAAAATATATAAAACTATTCTCTTTTGTTCCATACATACCATTAACACAAATACATAAAATGGAAAGAAGAATAACACAAAAACATGAAAATAAAAAGACAATATGACCATAAAGAACAAGGAGATGAAGATAAAAGGGTAGAGAAGAGGCCTTTCTTGCTAACTGAGTGAAGGAGATGTGCAACCATCCATGAGAGCAATCATTTTCATTCAATAATAATTAACTATCATTTACAAGCCAAAAGTGCGCTATATAAATGGGCTCTACGTTATCACATGATTAAAACACCATAAGAATACAAACAATGACTATAATAAGGATGAAGTGACGAAAAAAAGGATAGTGATGCAACAAAAGACATGACAACAACAACAGTATCAAGCCTTTGTCCCACTACGTGGGGGTCAGCTACATCAATCCTTTTTCGCCATTGTGTTCGGTTAAAAGTCAAATTCTCATTTAAATCTAATAAAGAAAGATCATTTCTAATATTTTCTAACCAAGTCTTTTTAGGTCTACCTCTACCTTTCTTAACATAAGTCAAATCTAATACCTCAACTTTCCTAACCGGGTCATCAGAAGGCCTCCGTTTAATGTGACCAAATCATGTAAGGCGACTCTCTCTAATCTTATCTTCCACTGGAGCTACTCCAACCTTTTCACGTATCACGACTAACGCTAACAAAAGACATGAAAGTTGGAAAAAAATAATTATGTAAATCCACTAAAAATAATGATGCAACAATCAAATCAAGACTAGCCAAAGCTCTGTAACTCTATTGATGGCCCACCATTAATACGTGTGCATGAGTCCATGCACCCCACCTCAAATCTTGCAACCAGCATTCAAACATGCACACAAAGAGAGAGGGAGAGAGAGAGAGAGAGAGAGAGAGAGAGAGATCTATGCAAGCATGCAGCAGCAAGCAGGTTATATATCAATATTATAAGACCCAAGCAGTTTTTCCATAACTGTAACCATCAAGAATTTCCATGCACTTCCACAAAAGGTTAGAACAAGCGATGCTTATGTTTATTAGATAATGCCAACGCCATGTTGTAGGCCTTCTGGTATTAAGAGGTCATTGTTTTGAAGTAGAGATGCCAACCAGGCTTCAACTGTGTTTCAAATTCGTGAGTCTTGATCCGTGGTTTAAAATTGCACAATTGGGTATTAAGGTTTAAATGCATTTTGAGGCGTGAGCATCAAAGTCTAAAAATTGTATAAAATGAAAATAAAAATTAAAAAATGATTTTTTTATATAATATACAAATAATATGTTAAAGGATGACATATTAACTTCTATTGAATTATGAAGTGCCTAATTTACATAAATATGAAATAAAAAATTGCATAAGATGTAAAGTGATAAATGATAAATTATGTGAAATAGAATTGAAATCCAAATATTATAAGAGCAAAGCAACATAAAATATATGAATTGTATAAAATTACCATATAATATCAAGTTTATCTCTAATTTTTTTCTTTCTCAGTTCCCTACTAATCTACGTTTAATTCTTAAAGAAAGTTGAAATAATTGGTAGCAACTCAGAAATCGTCTGTACTATCATTACTATGTGGATTTTTATTTGAGTCGTCGTCATAACAAATCTCTCCATTGACTCATTTTGTAGGATGGGCAACTCTCAATGTGCTTCTTTATTTATTCCAGCATCTTCATTCATAAATTTTTGTCATCAACATAAAGATAATGGTAATACTCCAATTTTTTTAGAAGAGCTGGTGGTGGGCGTGTGGCTTTTAAGTGATCCTCTATGACGACTACAATAGTGGTGGCTACGGTGAAGGTTTGTCATGAACATTCAACCAGTCCTTCAAGTGGCACTTCACATGCAAATGTTGAATCAACATTAATTGAAAAAACTTTTATGAACAATCTTGGTCTTCATAACACTGTATGGAAGAATGCATCATGTTTGATTAAATGTGGGAGTAATAAATGTTAGTAATGGTAGTTGCGCTTTTAAAATTTAACATGTTGGCCATTAAAAGAGAAGCATAAAATTAAGTTGTAGAGATAAGAATGCTCAGCAAGATTAGTGGCTTTGCTCTTGGAAATAGAATGCGAAATGAGCATATACGTGAAATGGTTAGAGTAGCTCCAGTGGCAAATAAGATTAGAGAGAGTCATCTTAGATGGTTTGATCACATAAAATGTCATCCCTCTACTGACCTAGTTAGTAGAATAGATGTATTAGATTTGGCCTACTTTAAGAGAGTTAGAGGTAGACCTAAAAAGACAGTTAGATTAAAAAATGAGATTCTTAACATGAAAAAATGAAGAAAAAGCATTTTGTTATACCTGGGAAGAGAAAACAATAATATAACGATAGAAAATCTATAGGAATATGATGGACCGGCTATTGATGGACCGGTTCACCCGGTCCATCCGCCCAGACCCAGGCGGGTCTACAGCCGGAGAGGGAGGGCGGGCGAACCCGAGGGGAGCAGGGGGGAAGCCACGGTGGGCCCCTTGGGCCCACCTTTTGATCAAATGGCAGAAAGGGGGGGGATGTTGAGGGGAGATGGAGGGTGGATTGAGAGGGGTAATTTAGGGAGGAGTTAAAAAGTTGGAGTGGTATGAAGGGGGGATTAGGGTTCAGTTTTTGGTATTATGCTAAGTGAAGTCTCTTTCTAGTTTTCTTCTTGTTTTTCTCTAGGCTTTCTTGTGGGAGACCTTGTCCTTCTAGAAGTGGACAAACTTATCTTGTTTTCTCTTGGATTTCAAATACAAAGGTTCTTGTTCTTCATCTCATTTCTTGTTCTTCATCTCATTTCTTTTGTGATTGTTTCTCCTTGGTTTTGGTGGAGAGATTCTTCTCTTTTGAGAGGAGTTTGGGCAAAACCGAAGTTGTGAAACCCTAGGGCGTATCAGAATACTTAAAATAGTGGCTGATTTTGAATTATACCTTAATACAAATGCAAGATACAGTTGATCTATGATTCAAGAGGTAGATCGTCTCTCCAAAGCATTCTAGATGTTGCTAGGAAGCCCTAAAAGAAAAATTACAGCAAAACAAAACCAAAAAGATGATCAAAATAATTAACATAACTAGTCCTAAATAACCTCTCCCAAATTCCCC